AACCCCACTGCTTCCTGGCAGGGCCTGTCAGAGAGCGTGGGGCTCAATAAAGACGACTCGAAGCGTGTGGTTGTGGGAGCTGCGAAGCACCAGGGACGCGAATGGGTCGGTCGGCACCGGCAGGGGAGGGGCTCCGAGGGTACAACCTCCTCCCTCCCGACTCTGCAGTCAAATCGTCCTCTCCACGCCGCCAGGACCAGAGGCCTCCCTGCAGCTCCTCAGGCTTTCTTTCTCCTTCTGCTTTCACCAAGTTTGACCTCGTCACCCGCAAAATCCTCTTTTCCTCTCAACCTGCGGAATTTCTCACCCCCCCCACCCCACCCCCTCCCGGGCACCCAAGACAAGGACAGCCTGTGGTGGCCAGGGCAGGTTCCTACCGCCCTACCCGCGGAGCTTATCCGTTGGGTCCTGAGGTTCTGCATCCCACAAGCGATCGCTTTATTACACTCCAATCCCCGGCGGGCCCCTTCCTGCAGTAATCTTTCCCTTTCAGCCGGATTATGCCTATTAGCACACAAATATGTTCTAACATCTCCGAGCTTTTTTTTTTTTTCAGAACCTCTTGCCGGGATCAGTAACCAACTCAAGGTGTCCAGTCTTGTGATTCTCAGATTTGACCTCAGTGCCACGTGACGGAGGAGGGCTTGCCTTTCTAGAAACTTCCTTTCTTGCCTTGAGGCTTCACTTTCCGGATTTCTCTCCCTCTGGCTGGCGATGACCCCCGCCCCCTCCCTCAGTTCTTCCTCCTCTAACAGACCTCCTCAATCTCGAGGCTTCCAAGGACCATGCTCTCTTCTCAGACTCCACGTCAGGAGTTTTAGAAAAGAAACGGAACAGCTTTAGAGGTTCCTAAAGACGGGGGCAGGCGGGGACGGGGGGGAGGTGGGATGACTCACCCACTGGTGCTCAGGCTATTCCTGGCTCTGTGCTCAGGAGGGACAACTGGCGATGTTCGGGGACCACATGTGATACCAGGACTCGAGCCTGGCTGGTCGGACACAAGCCCCTTAATCCCCCTACTACCTCTCAGTCCCGCCAATGGACTTTTTGAGGGATAACAGTATTAGTATTCAGAGGCAAAGAAGCTAATGTCCTAAAATTGTCTTGCACTTGAACACCTGTCCTGTGTCATGATTTTCAAAGTCACATGAGGAAAAAAAAAATCCTTCCTAGAACCTTAGTTTAGAGATAGGAAATGATGGCATTCTGATAGATACCTATCAGCTACATCTTTTCCCATGAGCTGGTTATTTTGGAAGATCATTCCGCCAACGGCAATGAAGGCCACTCTGAGATGACAAAATCGGACTATCCACCTCTCTGCGGCGAGGAGTCGTAATCACCCAGTTAGTCACAAAAGCAAGACACTTGTGGCTCTGCACCCCATCTGACTTCCTCCACGAGGCGTACTCTCTTTCTCTGATCATCTTTACGATGCCTCCGTCCTCCCACAAAAACCTAAGGTCTGTGACGAAAGGAAACTTTCTACTCCGCTACATCCTCAGCGCGTAGTAGTATCTGATGCCAAGAGAAAAGGCTCAATAAATATTCATAACTCAGTCTGATCACAGCGTACCGTCATGAACATACTGAAATGCAGGTGTTACAATACTTGCTTACAATTCCAGAAGGGGTGTGACGCCACTGCTTGAGTTGTGGGGCGAGCCAGGCCGGCTACGTGGGCTCAGTCCTCACTCCGACCCCTCTCCCAACACCGCAGCAAACCCAACTTCCTCCGGACAGTCCATGCCAAGGCCCTGGGGACAGCCCCACAGGTCGGACGCAGAGGGACGATTCTCCCCTACCTGCTTCACCTCCCTCAAGCACAAGGATCTCGGGAAATCCTACCTCCCCCCCCCCACCCCCGCCTCCAGCAAAGCTCAGTCACCTTTTCATCTGGTCCCTAGTCCCCCGTGACGACCCACCAACAAACCCTCTCGGGTCCAGCTCCGAAACCTACCCGGATTCTGCCCACTTCCCTCCATCATCGAGACCATCACCTCGGGGCTCCCAACTGGTCGACCACCAGGGGCTCCTCGTCCAACTCTCCGCCCGTCTGCCGCTGCCGCGCTCCTCCCTCAGCACACGGCTCCCTTTGCTTCCCAAAACGGCGCCCGTCGCCCAAAAGGAGAGAGAGAGAGGATGGGGAAAACTGTCTGCCCTAGAGGCAGAGGAAGGTCTGGGATGGGGGTGGAGGGTGATCCTGGGGACGCTGGTGGTGGAGAGTGTGCACTGGTGGAGGGAAGGGTGTTCCGTCACTGTATGGCTGAATCGCGAACAGGAACGCTTTGGAACTGTGGCTCACGGTGATTCAATAAAAAATAAATTTCTAAAAAACAGCGCATGTCCACGGTCTTCACTCTGCTGAGACTCCCTCCTCTGCCCCCCACAAACACACACACGTGCAGACACACACACACACAGACACACACACACACACTCCCTGGCACCAGGCTCCCTCCTGGCTGGCATGTCTTCCCCTGACACCCCCGGGGGCTGGGGGTGGGGGGCCTCCTCAGCTCCTTTTTTCCTTTCCGGACACCACTGTCCCTAAACATACCTAATTCATTGGCTTTTTAAAGTCCATCGCTCACACAGAACCCAGCCGTTCCACAAAGGCCAAACTCAAGTCTGTTTTGTCCAGTGGCTGGCACCAGCCGGGCAGAGAGCAGATGCCCAGGCACTAGTTGTAGAAAGAAGGAATGGAGGAGTCCCCCTTGGATGGGGACACCCCTCCCTCGCCAGCAAGCACCAGGCGATCTTCAAAGCCTGACACACCCAGGAGGTGCCCCTGGGGTCCCCCGCCCCGAGCATAGGGGCCCACATGAAATTCACGCCTCCCTCGTAAGTGGGCTCCATGCCTGGGCCCCATCTCTCCAGGCCCTCCCGATTCAAGCCCCCTAACAGACACCAACCTGAGCCACTGAAATACGCCCCCCCTTACCAAATATACGGCGAATCCTTTCTTCCAGAAAATGGGGTTCGTCCTTCATCCACCCTTCTGGCCTCATCCTTCAGCCCCTCCCCCGCCTCCACGTCTTTCACTCCGTGCGCTGTGTCGGTCCCTCTGCTTGGGAAAATCCTTCAAGGCCAACCAAAATGTCCCTTTCCTAAGGAAGGCTTCCTGCCTTCAGTCAGGACAGAGTGGACGCGACTCCCAGATCCCTGTCTACCCCCCTCAGCGTGTGCCGGAGGGGCCCTCCAGACACCAATGACGGCCCAGCAGGCTCTGGGAGTCCACAGGCTTAACCAAGCGCCTCAGGCAGATCGCTGAGTCCCAAGGCTTCAGCTCCCAGGTCAGTGCCCGGGGAAAGACTGAGACCCAGAGAGGATTTCGGGAGCCAGCTCAGTCAGAGCAAACGGCGGGACTGCTGGAAACTGGTTCCTGCCCTGGTTCCCTGAGCACGGCGGGCCGAGGCCCAATCCCCACCCCCCAAAAATATCTAGCACGCACCTGGCAATAAAGAGACGAGACATGCTGTGGGCCAGTCATGAGCCTAACCTGGATGGCTCGGTCACCTGCAAGCCGAGTCTACCCCAGGGGGCTCTAGGGCCCCAGAACCCGCTCTGGGCCGTGACAATGAAATCGAGATTAAGTCGCTGGCGTGGACGGATTTAGGGAGAAAGTGCCAGGGCTCTGCCCTCCCCCTCCCCCGCAAGAAAATTGCGTACCGAGCTGAAAGAGCTGAAACCGGGAGGAAGATCCCGGGGTATCATCGGTCACTTCTAAACTCCAACAGCTGCTCGGTGCCCATTCTCAGGCTAGTTACGTCGACTTTTTTATGAAAATATTTCACCTGGCTTCTCTCACACTCTGGATTTATTATTTTTCCTTCAGGGCTTTAAACTCCTGCGGATTTGCATGAGCTTGAAAGGAACCTTGCGGTTTCCAAAGCCATTTTGCCAGGTCAATCAATCCCTCGCATTCCCTGTGCTCCCGCCTCTGGGCGGTAAACACCAGGCGCACAGCACGGGTGGCTGCTGGCTCTCCGGGAATTCTCTGGGAATCGGGGAGGATTCCGAAAACCGTCCACACACCCCAGGGCTTCTCCCCAGCAGGCAGACCCGCCAGGGCCCAGGGGGCCACACACCTCCTCAGCCTCCCTCCCCATCACGCTGGGGTGAGAAGCCCCCGCGCCCCATGAGGACGCACGTGTGTATCTGTGTGTGAGTGTGTGGGTGTGCGTGTATCTGGATCTGTATGTCTGTGCGTATTTGTATTGTGTATGTGTGCATATGTGTGCTTGTATGCATGTGTCTAGGTGTGTGTCTGTGCGTGTCTGTATGTGTGTGTGTCTGGGTACATGTGTACGTGTCCGTGTTTCTGGGTGCGTGTGTCTGGGTGTGTGTGCATGCATGTGTCTGGGTGTGAGTGAGTGTGCGTGTGCCTGGGTGCATATGTCTGGGTGCATGTGTACGTGTGTCTGTGTGCATGTGTCTGGGTGTGTGTGTACATGTGTCTGTGTGCATGTGTCTGGGTGCGTGTGCCTGGGTGCATGTGTCTGGGGTGCATGTGTACGTGTGTCTGGGTGTGTGTGTATGTGTGCATGTGTCTGGGTACGCGTGTCTGGGTGAGTGTCTGGGTGCATGTGTGTGTGTGGCTGAGTGCGTGTGTCTCTAGGTGCGTGTGCACGTGTGTCTGGGTGCACGTGTCTGGGCACGTGTGTGCGTGTGTCTGGGTGCATGTGTCTGGGTGCGTGTGTCTGGGCTCGCGTGCCTGTGTGCATGGGTGCATGCCTGGGTGCATGTGCCTGGGTGCATGTGTCTGGGCGCGTGTGTGCGTGTGTCTGGGTGCGTGTGTCTGGGTGTGCAAGTCCGGGTGGCGTGGGTGTCCCCGCGCGGCCACGCCCCGGCATCTCCCGCCTGCAGGTGGCCTGCGCCCTCCCCCCCACCCCCACACCAGGCGGCTGCACCGCACCCAGCGGGCCGGGGGGCTGGGGGCCGAGGAGCGCGGGGTGGGGGCCGGGGTGCTCCGCGGACGGACGGCGCGCGGCACCCACCTCCACGAAGGCGTCGGTCAGGTCACTCGCTCGGTCCATCACGGGCAAGTGGCGCCCGGCCACGATCTTCACCTTCAGCTTCCCGGGCATCGTCGGGGCTGGGCGCTGCCCGGGCTCCTGCGGAGACAAACAAGCGCGCCCGCTGCGCCCGGCGCCCGGCGCCCGGCGCGGAGGGGGTGGGGGAGGGGCGGGCCGGGCCGGGCCGGGCGCGCGCGAGGCCGCGGGGGGCGCGCGCGGGCCGCGGGGACGCGCGCGCGGCGGGCACGCGCGCCGCCAACTGACAGCAGCGCCGCCGCCGCCGCCGCCGCCGCCACTCACTGGCCGGGGGGGAGCGGAGCGGCCCCGCGCCGGCGCTGCCGCCTCATCCCGGAGAGGCAGCCGGAGGAGCGGGCCCGGGGGCTTCTTCCGACCCGACCCGACCCGGCGGCGCGGGAAAAACACGCAAGCGGAGTCCAAGCCGCGGCGCGCCCGCCGCCCCCCCCAAGATGGCGGCGCCCGGGGCGTGGAGGCCGCATCGACCGCTCGGCGCTCCCCGGGCGGCGGCGGAAGGGGCGGGGCCGGGGCAGGGCGGGGCGTCGAGCCCGGCATCATCCAACCCGAGCTCGCCCGCCCGACGACGTGGCCGCCCCGGGCCGCTCGGTGCTGGTCGGAGCCGCATCTCTGGCCCCGCCGCCGCCAGGCGCGTGTGCAGTGACGGGCGGGCAGGTGTGGCCGCGAGCCCCGCGGGGGGAGAGAAGTGCAGGTGCCCTTCGGGCCCCGCACCTGCTGCCGGGGTCCCGGCCGCTGGGAGAAGCGAGCCAGGCTCCACCACCACCCGCACCCCCGCACCCCGACAGCCCGCACACCCGGCCCTGGTGCTGGGCTGCTACGGGGACGTGATCTAACGGCCGGGCCGGAGGAGGACGCGGGACACACCTACAGACCCTTGCCCGGAGCCGTGCCGGCCAGCCCCCCGGAACACGCAATCCGAAGGCTCGCGCGACCGTGCCAAGCAATTCCGGGTAGAAGGGAGCGCCCCTAGGTGGTTCTGCAGTGGCCCTGGATTCGTCTGCAATGCTCCGAGGTTCCTCTGCAGTGCCGCTAGATTCGCCTGCAGTGCCCCTAGGTTCGTCTGCAAAGACCCTGGATTCATCTGCAGTGCCCGAGGTTGTTCTGCGGTGCCCCTAGGTTCGTCTGCAGTGCCCCTAGGTTCTGCAGTGCCCCTACATTCGTCTGCAGTGCCGCTAGATTCGTCTGCAGTGCCCCTAGGTTCGTCTGCAAAGACCCTGGATTCATCTGCAGTGCCCCGAGGTGGTTCTGCAGTGCCCCTGGATTTGTCTGTAATGGCCCTAGATTCGTCTGCAGTGCTCTTAGATTCGTTTACAGAGCCCCTAGGTTCGTCTGCAATGCTCCTAGGTTGTTCTGCGATGTCCCTAGATTCGTCTGCAGTGCCCTTTGGTTCGTCTGCAGTGCCCTTAGATTCTTCTGCAATGCCCCGAGATTGTTCTGCACTGCCCCTGGATTTGGCTGCAATGCCCCTAGATTCGTCCACAGTGCCCCTAAATTCATCTCCGGTGCCCGTAGATTCTTCAGCAATGGGAAACCCCTCACGTGGAAATCATCAGGACGCTTTTCACGTTAGGAACACTCGGGGACGGGGCAGGGGTGATAGTCCAACGGGCGGGGCACTGGCCTTTGTCCACTGCTGATCAGGGTTGCAGTGCCCGGCACCCCGGGTGGCCCCCCAAGTGTGATCCCTGAGCACAGAGTCCGAGGGAGCCCTGAGGCCCGCTGGAGGGTGGCCCCTCAAACATCCGCCACCCCCAAATGCAGATGAGACACCTGAGCACTGCTTGAGAGTAACCCCTCGCCCCTGCTCTCCCCCACCCCACTCCCAGGTTTAATTACTGTGTCCCTGGCAGTGGCGAGCCAGAGTTTTCTTGAAGCCCAAATTGCTGTCTATACAGAGAATATTACTCACTTGAAATGTGGAGTTGAACTCTTCCCGAAGAGACTAGAAAAAGACTTTTTCCAAACAAGGAACCAGGGCAGGGCAGTGGCTCAAGAGGCTGCAGCTCGCTCCTTGCACGGGGTAAGCCAGACCTGGATTTCCCCCCCAACCCACCCCTTCACCCCCTCCACCCCCCTCTACCCGGTTCCCAGCACGGGGACCCTCCTGGCAGCCACAGCCAGTCTGGGGTAGCCCCTAAGCACCAGAACGGGTGAATCAAGCCGGGTCTGAAAGGCAAATTGCTATTTTTTTTTAATAGACTAGAGAAAACTTTATCCTTTCAAACTGTAACAAAAGGTTATAAAGGTTAGAGACCACAGCTCCCTTGGTAGATTTCCTTAGATCCGTCAGTTGCAAACCATGGTGTCAAACTCGACCCTTACAATGCTCTCAGGACAGATTCACTGGCTGATCAGTTCATTCTTACATGTTTTGTTTGCTTTGGTGGCAGAGTGAAAAGAGCTTTCTATACTGAAAGCAGAGAATTACCATACTATCAATGTACTTTAAAAAAAATACTGAAAAAAATAAACACCAAAACACACATTTAAAAACTAGAAAGCTGAAGTTTAGCAGTAATCTTAATGGAAAGCACTGAATGCATTGTATTGCCAAATGTCGTAATCTTTTTTTTTTTTAATTGTGCAATTAAAGGTTAACAGTTTTAGCCTCCTACTTAGCCTGTAAATACTGAGGTACCTTTGCCTTAAGGCCTCATCAGCAGGAGATTATAATTAAATGCTTCCTGGAGGCTTTTTTTTTTTAAGCAGCATTAAGCCTGACCTCAGTTCATCTAATAATTGTAAGACTTTATTTTATAATTAATGCTGAGAACAATGCTGACTTCCCTAACAGATCTACCATCATCTGTTTCCTGATTATCTTCTTGAGCTTTGTCCCTTGCCACTTTTTTTTTTAATCCTACAAGTTTTAGAAAGATTCGTGTGTATCTAGAATTTGCTGTAGCCGCTGCTAAATTCAGTGCTCATAGCTTTCAAGCAGCCCCCAAATCCTATGAATTAGGAATTCTCAGTCTTCTTTAAAGAGACGAAGAGTCCAGTGCTTTGCTAAGCTGTGGCGACTTCTACCCAGTGTCATCTCAGAGCAAGTAACTAATGCAAGAGGTATAATTTCTTTTCTTTCTTTTTTTCTTTTTCTGAAGGGAGTTATAGGGACAGAGATACATCCAATAGTACTCAGAGCTTGCTCCTGACTCTGCTGTCAGGGATCACTCCTGGCGGTGCTCGGGGGACCATATCAGGTGCCCAGGATGGAACCCAGGTTGGCCATGTGCAAGGCAAGCGCCCTACCCACTGTATTGTTGCCCTCACCCCCATGGAGGTAGCATTTCTACCTAGACAACATGATTCTAATACCCTGTGCTTTTTAAAAGACAACACATTTATTTTCCAATTAGCCGCTTTTCTCCCCACCTGGAAAGTTTTCCTCTTAATCGTTCTGTCAGATAATTAAGAATTCCATCATTTATTGGGGCTGGAGCGATAGCACAGCGGGTAGGGCGTTTGCCTTGCATGTGGTCGACCTGGGTTCGATCCCCGGCATCCCATATGGTCCCCCAAGCACCGCCAGGAGTAATTCCTGAGTACAGAGCCAGGAGTAACCCGTGAGCATCACCGGGTGTGACCCGAAAAAGGAAAAAAAGAAAAAAGAATTCCATCATTTATTTTGGAAATCACCTATCAGGCCTACCCTGCTCTCCTTCCTAACAAAAAATCTAATCCATCAGCATCATGTCCAGGGACATGATTATTCATCTTTGTTTTACTCTCATCCATTAAACCTTGAGCAATGCGTGTTCTCTACGCATCTCCCCGTTCTCCAGTTCTCTCACCCCGCACCCTTTCCGTGATGGGCAGATGTGACTGGAAGTGTGAGTGTGGGTGAGCACTGGTCCTGCTCCCACCTCTGTTCTTTCCTGGCCCCTCTTAGAAGGCTCCTGTTAGGGTCTCCCTGCCTTCAGGGTCAGGATGCCCAAAGGCCATCTTTCTTCGTTGCTCTCTCCTCCTTTGCCCATCCTGAAACGGTTTCTCTCCGTTTTAGCCACCAACTGCATCCACCCAGGCTGTCTGTAACCGTCGATTTCTGAAGACATCAAACAGGTTCCATTTTCCTGATGCTCACTCATGTCTGACACACTCTCCTCCTGGCTCCGAGCCGGCCCTTCACGCTGTATGTCTGTCCTCTCCATCCACCTCACTGGCTGTGACAGTCCCTGTTTCTCAGCTCCTGACCCCCTTTCTCAAGTCTCGCTAACCCCATTCATGCCGTGTAACTTCCATCTCTTACCCATTTTAATGAATAGTTCTACATTTTTATCTTTTTTTTAATGTGGGAAGGGGGGGAGTGGGCCACACCCAGGGGTGCTCAGGGATCCCTGTGAAGGGTGAAGGCACGTGTCTGCACACAGCTGGCCCTAGTCCAATTCCCAGCACCACGGATGGTCTCCTGGACACTGCCAAGAGTAACCCCTGAGCTGGGCGTGACCCCAAAAACCAATGCACCTAATGGCCACCACCCTCCCAGCACCCAAAAATCAACTTCCTAATTTCTCATGGATTTGGGTGTATCTTTTGGGCACTATTTTTGGAGGAATAAAAGAGAGGTAAAGCACTTGCCTTCCAAGCTGCTGAGTTGGGTCTGATCCCAGCACCCCGTGTGGTCCCCAAGCCCTGCCAAGCATGATCCCTGAGGGCAGAGCCAGGAGTAAGCCCTAGGCACAACCAGATGTGGACAAAAAGAAAAAAAAAAGGAAGGGAGAGAGAAGAGAGGGAAGGGAAGCCTAGGAGAGGGGAGAAGAGGGGAGGGGAGGGAAGAGGAGGGGAGGGAGAAGGTTCAATATTTTAAAAGTGAGCCATTATTCAGAAGTGGGTTTAATTTGATTTTTTTTGCCTTGCTAGGTTTGTGTAGGACAGACCACTGCTCCCCTGCCTTAATACTATTCCTGTAGTACTAGTTTGTTCCATTTTAACTGAATCATGGTTCCTATTAATTCTATCATTTCACCGTCTAAATAAACTAAGGTAGTTTCCAGTTCGTCTCAGTTCATGAGATCCAGATCACATGCCAGACCCTTGGAAGTTTTAAATCGTCCCTGGACT